CTATAATTACGTATTTTAGTCGAATTATTACACTCTAATTTACTGCACTTTAATTGAGTTTGAGCTTTAATCGCTAGTGTTTTGCACATGGTGTGTTTTATACCTTGTAGGAGTGATTCCGAGCTATGTAGATGTTATGGAATGAACTCAAGTGATTTGGAGCTTTGAAGTCTGAGTAAAAGTTCAAGGAATTAAGCCGGGATCGTGTTTGGGGGTCAATGGATGATAGTTAGAGCGAACGAAGACTCCAGTAGGCATATTGCGCACTATCTAGTAAAATAGATATAACTTTTTGCTCAGAACTCCATTTGGGCTCCACAATATATGGTTGGAAATATAACTCAAAGGGCTACAACTTTTATATTTTATATTTTTCCAAATTCGGAACGGAACAGGGTGAAAAATGCGCGACATTAGATCGAAGTCGCGCTAGTTAAGGAGCTGGAGGCAGAATGTCAAAGAATATGCGCGAAGTCATGCGCGAAGAATGCGCGAGCTCACGCTAGTCACCCGGGAAAAATATCCTTTTTCACATTGGAGAAGGTATAATTGTTTGGGACCAACCCTACTTGGTATATATACATGGAAAAACGGTATTTTGAGGGAGAAGAGGACGTTTTTGAGAGAAAAACACAAGCACAGAGCCGCCGTGGAGGCCGGGTTTCATCTTTTCTTCCACCCAACTTAGTCTTTTTATGTTTCTTTGTATGATTTGTTGTTTTGCTACCATGTCTATGTGGAGCTAAACTTCACGTTCTAGGGTTGTGGTTCTTTCATGACTATTGTTATTCGAATATTGATTTTGATGCTTAGTTTATCATATTGGTTTATTTATTCAATCTTGCACTTAATTATTTGATTGCTTGATCACCAATTAAATACTATCTACGAATCTTGAATTGAACTCGAAAGTGGAAATTCTAGATTGCATATAGGATTGAGTAGAGCAAGTTCTTGAACCTGGGCATCGGGGAACGGATTCGTGGTTAGGATAGACATATACCTAATTGCCTTGCTTGGTTGATTTACAAGAATTATAAATGCGTTCTTGTTGATTCTAATTCCATAGACATATAGGAGTTAGGTTAGCTTGAATAGGCGAGTAAGAACTCGACAGATTCTTATGAGCAAAATTAACCCTGTCAACCAATAAACTAGATAAATTAGTTAGTCAATTCAATTGAAGAATACAATAGGAATGTTAGATAGCCCATAACCCTAGATCGTTTTCATTACATTGACATCATAAAAATATGCTCTTTCTCTGTCCAAAGTTCATTATTTGTTTTTATTTATTTTAATTAGTTTAGAATCAAATACTTCTTGGTTTAATTCTTGTATAGATAATTAGGATAGTCTAATTTAGTTAATAGTTGATCATAAGTCCTCGTGGGTTCGACATCCGACTTTTAGTCACTTTATTACTTGACGACCGCGTATACTTGCGTATGCGTTTGGCCGCAACAATAATAATGTGTATATCAAAAAAAATTATTAAAATTTTATTTCCTTCTTTGTATAACACATTTCAGATTGAAAACTCAAGTTGAAGACGACTCCACATGTGTATCCTCTGTCGTAACCCGTGTATATCTCTATGTACATCAGTGATATCTCACGTATATTATGTGTATTTGTGTATATCCATGAAAATTTGTGTTATATATACGATATACAAAGTGATATACACGGACGTCCATAAAAAAATTATGTTGTATACACGATATACAATGTGATATACACAGATGTCCTTAAAACTTGTGTGTTATATACACTGATGTACATGATATACAACGTGATATACACATATCGTAGTTGGATATTTAGGTCTAGTTTTTTACCTGAAACCAGCCTAATTACTTCTAATCTTGCTCATTTTGTATATAGCCTCATTTAGGTATTTTCAACCAATTTCAATCATACCATTCATTCAATCCAACCAAAAAAAGGAAGAGAGAAGAAAACAAAGTTGAAATATATTTTCTCTCTCTTAGTTTTTGCTAATCTTGCTCAAATTTTATATATAGCCTCGTTTAGGTATTTTCAACCAATTCCAATCACACCCACTCATTCAATCCAACCAAAAAAAAAAAAAAAGAAGAGAGAAGAAAAACAAAGTTGAAATATATTTTTTCTCTCTTAGTTTTTGCTTTTGATTTTCTCTGATGTGAGATCAGCCTTACCTTCTCATCCCACTGATTTTTTTTTTGCATAATTTGCAAGGTTTTGCTAAACTATGAGAGCAAAAGAGAAGAAATAGAAGAAGAAATACAAGGAGAGAAAGAAGGAGGCAAGCCAAAATAAGCATGTAGTTTTTTTCCAGAGAGAATATAAAAGAGAGTAGTTTTTTTTTAAGATTTGGCTATATAATGCCAATTGTTTGGGGCTATCTTTGCCAAACCTAATATAAGGCTAAAAAATTGCCAATTTCTGTTATGTGTTGTTATAGGATGCTAATTTTTCTTTATAAAGCTTGGTTGAATATATCTCATTATATTTGTAGCGCAATTCGTTTGAAATGATTATCTAAAAGTCAATTTTTAACGACTATTATTTGTAACATCATAGAATTTTCATTAATTGATTTTTGTGTTTGTAGAAATATATGTAAAGCATATTCTTACACTTGATATACACTTATTTAATTTCCTCTTTTGTTTATGAAATTAGAAATAGTCCTTATTGAAATGAGATTGAGGTGGGCTGGAGCCCTTGTCTTGCATGATACTACGAGCACCGCAGTGTGTTAGTTGTTTCTGCTTGATGTATAGATTGGACAAGGTTTAAGTGAAGCAGGCTGCAGGTGGCTAAAAATTAAATACGTATTCCTTCTGATGGGGGAGTGATATTTGAGTATTTAACCAGTAGCCATGCACTTCTTTCTTTTATAGCCTGTTTGATCAAGTTTCTTGAAGACTAAATAATTGACTCCCTTTTGCGGTTTGGACTATGTTGTGATCACTAGTAGTTTTTTTTTTTTTTTTTTTTTTTTTAACTGTGGTTTCCGGGCATCGCTTTGCGAACCCGACTAGCTGTACCCATCGGGGCCCGCCGTTTCAATGCGTGCACCACGGTTAGTTCCACGGGGCCCTGGAGACGCGACCGGTTTGTAATGCTTCCAGTGGCCCTGCGGGGGCTCGAACTGGGGACCTGAAGGACTTTGTCCTCAGGCCTTTACCAGTTGAGCTACCCTCAGGGTTGATCACTAGTAGTTGAAAATAAAATACTTGATTAACAACTAAAAACTATGAAGACCTCTTGAATTGATTATATTTTGCTAAGCAAAAGGATTTATTCTCCTTTTTTTATCCTATCTATTTGTTACATGTTACACCAAACAAATACATACTGACATGCCTTTTTACATAAATTTCTATCACTCAATCATGGTTTATTATTATTCTCACCTCATTTAATTACTTAACCATAGTAAATTCAAATGGTTAACCCCCACTCCCCTTCGGGGTTTCACGTGGATTAGTGAATAAGTTGAAAGAATAAATAAGAATTCAGCATAATACTAACGAAAAATATTTGGTAGGGAGCGCTTCCCCCCGAAAGAGGCCCTACGCGGCGCGAATCCGGATATAGTCAGGCTCCAATGCGGGTACCGGACACCGGATGGGAAACCAAAAAAAAAACTAATTGTTTAAGTGCATACTGCTGGCAATTTAAAAGAAAAGGATGAAGACAAAGACCAAACACGAAGTAATCTGAGCTATAACCTAATAAGATGCATATTTCATATTAGGCGATGCTAATTTTATCGTATGGTAAGGAAAAAAAATTAAGAAAAAGGTAGCCAAAAACTATTTAATTTGAGAACAAAGTAAGTTAAACTTACCCATCATATATCAAAGAAAATATAATGTAGCCACAGAACAACACCCTTTTTGATTTCTTCTATTTTCAAGATTCATGTGAATCTATCACTAACTAAAGCAAAGTGTAGTTTCTTTACTTTGTGGAGGGTAGTTCCATCTTCCCCCAAAAGGCGCAAGATTTTGCCTTTTGTTTATTTCTCGTGAACCAAATTTTACTTTTTCAAATTATGTATTTATATATAGGTTAAAAAAAGTCATTATATTCCTTTCTTTCCTTTTCTACTTTTCATGGTTTCATTTTCTTCCAACAAAAAAATAAAAAGGGGATGGTAATGGCTGTTCCCGTGAACAAACCCTTCGCTTCTAATAGGGACAACGCAAATAATTGGATTATATAATTAGATTATATTTTACTTATGACTTAGTAAGAAAGTATAGTTAATAATATTTTCCGAGACTACATATTGAAAAATAAATATTCTATAGCAGAAATGATAACATTTTTTTTCCAGTAATAACCATTGTAAGTTTAATCACTCGGGGTGCTTAAAATATAAAGCTACTAAATAATATGATTTTTTCTTTTCTTTTTTATTAAGTAGTTCTTTTAGGTGAACGATGATTCTGTAAATAAGTAAATAGAGAAATGAACAAGAGGAAAAGTCCTTTAGTGATATTTGAAACACATGTAACTATGTATATGTAAGGTCAAATTATAATCAATATACTCCAACTTTAAAAACAAGAAAAAACATATAGATTAAATTATTCATTGTGTTCCGAAGGGATGCCCCAGTTGGGTTTGGAGGGCGCTGTCACACTGGCGACATTGGTTCGAACCACCTCAATGTCCCTCTGGGTCTGAGCCTTGCCTAGTACGATTTACATTCCCTATGTGGTTTGCAGGCTATTGCATAATGGGGGGTTTACCCAATGCGTACAGAGTGCTCACCCGAAGGATAGAGACTGTAGTGGGTGCCAGGTTTTCCTGGGATTCCAAAAAAAATATTATTCATTTTATAATTATTATAAGCTCATGAAAAATCTAGTTGATTCAAGATTAATCTCCCCTTTTCTTTGTCTCTCTCATTCTTCTCACTCAAAGGCACTCATACAATAAATGCTGACTTGAGACGTATTGTCCACATACACTTATCATATATAGGTTTCCTTCAATAGAAGATTGAATTGGAGTATAAATTGGAAGCTTAAGATACAATTGTTCTATGCTTATAGTAGATAGTTAAACTCATCTTCAAGAAAACCCTATCTCAACTCTTGCAAAATTAACCAAATACTCATCTTTATCAAGAACAACACTCTCATTTTCTCCTTTTATGGCACCTAACATGGAAAACAATACTGTTGGGACAAATCACACTAACAAAAAAGTCACTCAAAAACCTCCAAAACTTCCCATGGATGGTCTACAAAGAACAATATCTGATATCTCATTTGAACTTAGCAAAGAATTAGTAATATCTGATGATCATGATAATAAAAAGCTTCCTCCTCTTTCAGAAGTTGAAGATGCCAAGTGTGAGTGTTGTGGCATGTCTGAAGAATGCACACCTAACGTTAACAATATTAAGAGAGTTAGGGAGAAATTCTCAGGGAAATTGATTTGTGGGTTGTGTTCTGAAGCAGTGAAGGAAGAGATGGAGAAGAATGGAGGAAAAAGATTAGAAGAAGCTTTAAATGAGCATATGAATGCATGTTCTAAGTTTAATAGATTTGGTAGGGCTTATCCTGTGCTTTTTCAAGCTGAAGCTATGAGAGAAATCTTGAAAAAGAATAGAGCTAAGTCTCTTAGCCCTAGAGATCCTATGGGTAATGGTCCAAAAAAAGGTGGAATTTCTAGGAGTTCAAGTTGTATTCCGGCCATTACCAAAGATATTGATACTCGTAAAATTGTTGACTGAGCTCAACAAGGTCAAGGAAAACGTTAATTTGCTGATATTATTACCAGTATTCGGTACGTGGTCAGAGGTATTTAAAGTGAGATCATGAGTCATGACTCACGAACGTTGTTTATTATATTGTCAGTGAGTATAACTTAGTTAAATCTAATTGTTCATCACTTTAATTTAGTACGTATCTTCAGGTTACATCCATCAAATTAAGGAAGCTCTCCTATAGCTTTAGGATTGTTAATATGGTACATAGAATAACGTAACTGCTTTTTCTAGAGTGTTGTATAATATTTCTAACCACTGGGATTCTTGTATGTACTTCTTAGTGAAGCACTTAAATTAATCTTATTGGTCTATGTTTAATTAATTTCGTTTTTTCTTCACTCAAAAAGAAACTGGTGATACTATTGTACCACTTCCTCCGTTTCAATTTATGTGAACCTGTTTGATTGGGCACGGAGTTTAAGAAAAAATAAAGACTTTTGGAATTTGTGGTCCTAAACAAGTCAAAAAGGGCCAGAGTATTTGTTGGCCCAAGTAAATGTGAAGTTTTGAAGACTAACAAAAGAACTCAGACATGGACTAGGTCCATCTTGTGAAGCACAGTTGTGATTAACCCAAACATGTGAGATGCACGTGAAGGAGATAAACCTAAATTATCAGAAGTAATATCTCCTGATCATGATCGAAAAGGTTGCATATTGGATAAGGAGAAAGACTCCTTACACAAAGAGAACACGGTTTAGGAAAATGATAGAGTTAGAGTATGAGATCAACTAGAACTCTTCCACCATGGAAGAGTAGCGTCTGTATCCTAGTAAATCTCTAATTACTAACTCCTTAAATATCAGTGATGTTCTCTTTTAAAGGTAATGCACATAAGCAGAAGTTAAACGTGAATTGAGAGCAAAATAGCAAGGCAATTTTGCAAGCAATTTATGTGTGATTCAAGCGTGCAATCCTGAAGCTACTTGAACCAGATAAAGAACCAGTTCCAAGTGTCTATCTTTTATTCTAGTTCAATTGTAGTAGGTGATTTTACATTGTACCTTTCAGCTTTTATAAAAGCAATTGTATTAGGTACTTAGAGTTTTCAAGTTAGAGTTAACTTGAAGTTGTCGCAACAGTTGAGGCTGTGTGCCACAACGGGATTAGAGTTAATCCTAGGTTTACAAAAGAGTTTTTGTAAATGCAGTTTTTGGCTCAGTGATTTTAGTGGAGAGTTTGGAAAAATCCTACTGGAAAGTAGGTCGTGGTTTTTTTCACCTTTTGAGCCAGGTATTTTCCACGTAAAATCTCTGTGTTCTTTATTTTCTTTACTTATTATTCCGCAACAGTAGTAGTTGGAACACATAGAAGAACTAGGTCCTTCTATAATCAAGTTAAGAGAAAATTGTGTATCACACAAATCAGCCCCCCCCCCCCCTTATGTGGTATTGAAGTATAAAACATCAATTGGTATCAGAGAAGGTTATCCTTGAAGAGGCTAACACCTTAGGAACAGATCAAGATGAGTGCACCACGTGGAAACTGGGAAGGGCAATCCACTGCCAGGCCTCCACTCTTTAATGGTCAGTACTATTCCTGGTGGAAGAACAGGATGAGAGACCACATCATAGAAGAAGACTATGAACTCTGGGACATAGTTACTGATGGTCCCCTGGCTACCACAAAGAAGAATGCTGAAGGAGTGGACGTGCCAAAGACAAGAGCTGACTGTACTGCTGAAGATTTGAAGAAATGGGAAAAGAATGCTAAGGCCAAGAAATGGCTTGTGTGTGGACTAGGTCCAGACGAGTACAGCAGGATTCAAAGCTGTACCACTGCTAAGGAGATCTGGGACACTCTACAAGTGGCCCATGAAGGAACTCCTCAAGTAAAGAGATCAAGAGGAACACTGTTATATTCTCAATATGAGAATTTCACCATGAAGGAAGGAAAAACCATCCAAGAGATGTACACAAGGTTCACAACACTAACAAATGAACTTAAGTCTCTTGGAAGAATTATCCTTGAAGAAGACAAGGTTGAGAAAATCTTGACAAGGGTCTTGCCAGTAACCTGGGAAAGCAAAATCACGGCTATTCAGGAATCAAAGAACATTGCTACTCTCAAGTTGGATGAGCTGATTGGAAATCTCACTGCCTATGAACTAAGAAGGCAAACCATGAAGATGGATGCACCCAAGAAGGAAAGGATCCTGGCTCTCAGAATAGCTGAAGGTGCAGACCTAGAAGATGATGAAATGGCTATGATCACAAGGGATTTCAAGAAGTACCTAATGAGAGGAAAGGGTTCTTCAAGAGGTGCAACCTTCAACAAACCAAGGGCTCCTGAGAAACAGACCGATGAGGGTTGCTACAAATGTGGTAAAACAGACTACATGATCAAGAATTGTCCTCAGTGGGAAATCGAATGGAAGAAGGAAAGGGCTGAACAAAGGAACAGGAAGAAGGAACAGGTTCAACCCAAAAGGAACAAAGGATCAACAAAGGCTATGGTTGCTGCTTGGGGAGAAACCTCAGATGAGGATTCAGAAGATGAAACTGGAGATGAACAAGCACTTATGGCCATTGGAGAATCAGACGATGAACAAGAGGTAAGTGTGATTCATCTCAAAGACAAGATTAAATTTTTGTCTAAAGAAAGGTTATCTGAATTATTGCTAGACTTCATTGATGAGTCTGAGGTCATAAACAATGAGAAGGAACAGCTGTCTAGGGAGTGTGTGATCCTAAAAGCCAAGTGCAAAAATCTGGAATTTAGGGCTAGTGAAAGTGATAGTAAAAATACAGAGTTGAAGAACCAAGTTCTTGAACTTGACACTTGTGTCTCAGAACTTAGGTCTGAAAATTTAAAACTGAAATTAGGAACAGGTAAGAAGAAGGCTGATCACACACATATCACCTTAGAAGAAAATCTAGGAAAAATGAAGGATGAGTTGTACAAGAAAGATGAGCAGATAAGAGTACTAAAAGAAGACCTAGGCAAGGTGAAACATGAACTAAACAGAACTTGCAAATGGAATAAGTCCTCTGATGCACTATCCTGGCTACAAGAGCATCACAGTAGCAACAAGAGAGGACTTGGCTATGGGACCCCAGCACCTAAGTGGGATCTCAAAAGCAAGTATATCACACTTCCTGAAAACAAAATCTGCACACACTGTGGCAAGACTGGTCATTACAAAAGTGAATGTAATGCAAAGGAAAAGGCCAGTCAAAAGAACAAAACCTTTGTTCAAGAGAAAAATAGGCTGTCTGGATGGGCCAAAAGGAATTTAATTCACCCTTTTGCCTATGGAAAGGGACCCAAACTAATTTGGGTTCCTAAGACTAACCCCTGATTTCATTTTGCAGGTCCAAGTGAAGGAAAGCAGCCAAATATGGTACATGGATAGTGGCTGCTCAAAGCATATGACTGGAAGTAAGAACCAGTTCCTTTCACTTGAGGACCTAAAAGGAGGTAATGTCTCCTTTGGAAATGGAAAGAAAGGTGAGATTATTGGGGTTGGAAAGGTAGGTAAGACAGACTCACATTTCATTGAGAATGTCTATTTGATAGATGACTTGAAATACAGCCTAATCAGTGTATCACAACTGTGTGACAGAGGTAACTTGGTAGCATTCACCTCTACTAAATGTTTTGTGATTTATCTTACCACTGACAAGATTGTTTTGCAGGGAAAAAGAGTTAACAATATTTACATTGTAGATTTGTCCACTCTTTCAGAAAATGAACTCACTTGCTTGAGTGTGTTGGACAATGATCCCCTCCTGTGGCACAAAAGACTTGGTCATGCAAGTCTAAATCAACTCAACAAATTAGTCTCCAAGGACCTGGTGATAGGATTACCTAACATCAAGTTCAAGGAAGAAAAAGTTTGTGAGGCTTGTGCAAGGGGGACGCAGGTAAGATCCTCTTTTAAAAGCAAGAAAATGGTAAGCACGACCAGGACGATGGAACTGGGTCATATGGATCTCTGTGGTCCAATGAGAACATTGAGCAGAGGTGGTAAGAAATATGTGATGGTACTTGTTGATGATTACTCTAGGTTTACTTGGGTATTGTTCTTAACATCTAAGGATGAGGCATTTGACATGTTTACTGCCTTTGTTAGAAAAACTCAGAAACAACTAGGTAATCAACTTGTATCAATTAGGTCTGATCATGGAACTGAATTTGAAAATGCTAAGTTTGCTGAATTTTGTGATGAGCATGGTATAGATCATAATTTCTCTGCACCTAGGACTCCTCATCAAAATGGAGTAGTTGAAAGAAAGAATAGGACTCTTGAAGATATGGCTAGGACTATGCTTCTTTCTAGTAAACTGCCCCATAGCTTCTGGGCAGAGGCTGTAAATACTGCATGTTACATCATTAATAGGTGCATGACTAGACCTCTTATAGAGAAGACTCCCTATGAGTTACTTAAAGGGAGAAAACCAAATATATCCCATCTTAGGGCATTTGGATGCAAGTGCTTTGTGCACAATAATGGAAAGGACTCCCTAGGCAAGTTTGATCCCAGAAGTGATGAGGGAGTATTTGTCACGACCCGGATTTTTCCCACCATCGGGCGTCGTGATGGCGCCTACTAACGGAGCTAGGCCAGCCATACATTAAACATTCGCTATTCAACCTCAACAACATAATATACTAACAACAGTTAAAGAAATGCGGAAGACTTTAAGTTTAACAAAAGATATAAAAATGCGGAAGTTTGAAACACATCCCTACGCAAAATCTGGTGTCACTAGCTCACGGACTACTATAGAATACTACAACAAGTCTGAATGAAAGAAATACACATGTCTGTTTCGGTACAATGAAAACAAACTGAAATAAGGAAAGGGGCTTCGGCCTGCGAACGCCAGCTAGGCTACTTCGAGAGTCCCTAGACTGAAGATAGCTCCCGGATAAGAATCTTACTGCTGCTGTCCAAAAGCTGCTCCTGGATCTGTGCACAAAGAAATGCACAGAGTGTAGCATCAGCACAACCGATCCCATGTGCTGGTAAGTGTCTGGCCTAACCCCGGCGAAGTAGTGACGAGGCTAGACAGGACTACCAAACCAACCTGTACAATTTTTATATACAAATATGCAATAAAAGGAAAGAAAATACTGAAACCAAACAGTTAAAAGGGAGGGAAACATGCTATGGGGAGAGTACAAATTGGATATAAAGTTCATCAGCGTAATTAAGAAACATGGCACAACAATAATTATCAAAGAATAAGAAATTCAATAGTTGCACGGCATCACCCTTCGTGCTTTTACTCTCAATCTCACCCAAAATAATCAAATAAAATGCACGGCATCACCCTTCGTGCTTTCCCTCACGTAGCTCTCATCTCATGGCACGGA